GCCCTGTTGGAGTAATAGGCAGCTACACTAGGGTCCAGCTCGATAGCCTTAGTGTACATCTCGATGGCCTGATCAAAGATGTCGGTTCAAACAATATCTAATACTAACTCCATCATCCCAACGTTCTATACCGCGGTCCTCACTAGCTTAGACACACAGGAATGCCCACTAAGGTTCAGGCCAGCGGCAGGCAGACATGAATCAATCCTCACCCGTACTCCATCCCAAGCTATGCTCACAACTGATGCCATTATCAATGATGATAATCATGATACCACCCCTACTACCTTTCTGAACTTCCTATCATGGTACATGACATTGCCCTCGTTTTTGAAACCCTCAGCCTTCTCGACCGCTCCAGAGTGATCTTCAGTGGACATACTGTTGTTCAGCTGTACACCCAAATGACGCATACCGTTGAGCTCAACACCGAGGAACAATACGAAGAATCGAAAAGGGCGGAGGAAACGTACATACGACACAAGTAGTCGCACAAATATGTCAAACAGCTAGAGGAAACTTCAGGCTACTGCCTCACTCATAACTGCTCCCAATCCGGAGATAACAAATACTGCCACCACAGAAGTCACAGCTCCTGGAATGATGAAGTCTTTCGGTTGGAGCCACGGTCTGTTATCATCTCCCTGCCGCTTGATAGCAGTAGCATTGACATTGGGCGCTGAGCTCACCGGTAAGGCTGAGCCAGCGGAGAGGGCCAAGGCAGCTGGCATCGCTATCAGGGTAACTCCTCCTCTAATACCCTTAGGGACAACCTCATCCCCTAGGGCTACGATGAAGGGCATGAGCACATTAGCAGCTGCAATATGGGAGACAGCCGTTGAACATAGTGTGACGAAGGTAACAGTACCGACGATGCATACCCACAGAGGCGCACCGTGAAGAATCTGAGATGCCCCGCTTGATGCAATCTCCAACAGCTGTGAGTCTTTCACGGCCAATGCCAGACACGAGCCTCCAGCCAAAAGGAAGCACACATCCCAGGGAAGGGATAGGAAGTCAGCTTTGGTGAGCAAGCCAGGAATAGAAAATAGCAATACCAATGGTAGCAATGCAGATAGCGACGTGTCACCAAAGACGGCACAAGTGAGACTAGAAGAAAGCCACATAATGATACATCCAATGACAATAACAATGACCACAGTCCGTTGCCAATTACCAAACAACGCTCCGCTCGCTGAGGCTACTAACCTGGGCGGGAGAGCTAGATAGTCACGATTGGCGGTCTCGTGCAGTAGAGCTGTTGGACTTTACTGGCTCGTCGATGGTGGAACTTCGTCGTGTCACAAAGGAGACAGCAACGAGCAGTAC